AACCCACCGCAGATTATAAATCTATAATTCCCTGCTATGAGTAGACAAGCACTGCAATCATTAGTGGCACTGGGGGTAAGGAATTAACAGTTCTCTTAATCATGGTCATATCCTTTCATGGACGCCATAACTGACATCATTGAGAGAGAACATTAAAGAAATCTTATTGATGTGCTAAGTTTATACAATGAACATTTTGAAGTAGATATTATAGTTAGGTAATTCAGCAACATTTATCTCAGCCAATAACACATTCTGTATATAAATATGATAACTTTAAAGAACACTAGTTATTCTTCAGTTTTCACCTTCCAAGAATATTGATTCTTCCAATGTTTCTATTCCCTAAACAGCTCTCCTAATAATTCATGTGTAGGGCCAAAGTGAATACCTGATGTCACTAAAAATAGTAACTCTGTTTTCTTCTTTATTTGTGCTGTATTGACAAGGAAGATCATATTCCCCGTAAACTTACCACATTTCTATTCTATTTGATGTGTTGGAGGAAGATGAATTTAACAACTATTGTGACTATCAAGTACTCTCTTTCACATTGTGGATTTCTATTTCATTGCCATCATCTAGCTATATGTAGCCTATTTTTATCTTTTAATTTGTCAAATGCTACTCAAATTCTCAAACTTATTGCTGGAGTACATAGTCATGATGGATTAGATTCTGATCTGCTGTAATCTCAACTCCTCAAGGATGATAAGGAAATTTGGTACAATTTTACATAACATAAACAATAAAACCAGAACTATTGCTGAAAGAATGATGAACAGAAAGGGAAAAGGTAGCATGCTCTGAGTTCTTAATGAGTGTAAAGAAAAAATGGCATGGTCTGGAAAGAGCCTATAACATTTTAGTTCTTCTTTTATTCCAATTCCAAATTATATTTAATCAATTGATATCAATAAAAAGAAAAGATGACTGGTAACACATGATTACTGATGCTCAGGAGTGCGGGGAGGGGAGTTTGGTACCATGGTGTCACAGGAAATTAATTTCAACTGTTGTCTTTTCATAGAATTAATGCTTATAACATTCGCTGGGCTGAGAATCATTTGTGGCCCTCTCCATCCTCCATGCTTGACTTGCAGCATAGCGGTTAAGGAACAGGCTTTGGTATCAGATTAGTGTGATTGGACTCCTTTAGAATACCCATATTTATTGAGGACCTGTAGGTCTTCTAAGCACCAGAGAAACAGCAACAAACAAAATAGATAAGGTTCCTGTTCTTGTGAAGCCCACATTCTACTGAGGGAGGTAGATAATTTAAAAATAAACAAAACAAATAAATAAGCAAGATAACATTAGACAGATAAATGCTCTGAAAAACAGGAGGGAACATATAATAATGATTTTGGTGAGGTTTAAGGTGGTTGCTACTTTAGATCGGAGTCAGGAAAATCTTGAGGAAAGTTGCTTTTGAATTAGAACCTGAATAAAGGAAACCAATAATGAAGTATCTAGGTATCCCAGCTTCCTGAAGTTTCTCCATCTGTAAAATAAGGCACAGGGCTGCTTTGATGATAGAATGTGGGGATGAATGAAAAAAACTTAGCACTAACCTAATAAGTGTGTGAAGCCTTCCTTGTGGCTGTCTGTACTTATGACATCAAAGCATAAAGCAGGGTTTCTTTTAATCTTGTTAACAGCAAAGAAGTTACCAAGTTACCTCAAGTATGTGAGGTTAAACTTATTCTCTCATCTTTAGATGTCATTTCACAATCCATCCCTCTGGATTAGTCCATACCTGGGGATCCATAAATATGGTTCCTGTCACTACCCATCTACCTCTAAGTTAGCTGGGCAAATAGCACAATAATGTTTAGATGGCCAAATGCACATTTAATGCATCTTAAGATTTAGTCCAGGATTAACATAATACTCTGCATTTTAAGATATGTTAAGGTTAGCAATTTAAACAGAAGTCCCCAGAGACTGTGGCCTTGCCTTGTTGATGCCACTAGTTTGGTTACACAGCTAATTCCATCAGAGCCATTGAACCAAGTGTTAGTGTGTGTGAAGAGAGTCCACGAGTCAATTGGCCGCACAGAATTCTTCCTGACATAGGAAGGCAGATGATCTCAACTTCTGAGTGTATACAGTGCAGATTTCTAGTTGAATGGTTCTTGACAATAGTGTCCTCTGTAACATAATGCCTGGCCAGGAGCCAGTGATTATGCCACCGTACAAATCACTGTGCATCTGACGCCAGAACGCCTCTGTGCGTGGTAACAACAAGAGTTCTCAGTCCTGGTGTTCCACAAGATGTTGCATTGGCTCTTTTATTCTTTATCAGACCCTGGAATTAAAGATTTTATTTAGATGGTTTTCAGGAAATAAGTGACGGCAGTGGAAAAGGAAAAGAGAGGAGATTTTAGTGTCGTTTAAGAAATAGCTCTGCTATTATGCAATTCCCGTTAGGATGAAATCAGCCTATGTTTTGAAACCTAGTTTTATTAATTGTTTAATAGATATTTTCACTTTAAATCTCTTATTTAATTATAGAACAAAAACAGCTTGGTTCAAACTGTTAGCTAATGATCCATGTATCATTTTAGTAATTGCTAGCTTCTTTCAGAAATGCATTAATTTTGTAAGAATTATAGACTTTCAAATGTGAAAACAGAGATTTTTTTAAGATCAATAAATTAGAACACTTATAAGTCATTTCAAATGTTATTTTACTATAACATATTATAAACCTGAAGTTAGTAGAACACTCAAGATATTATAATCCTCTATTTTAATTTACATTTAATTGTCTTTTTTAGGATTAAAAGTAGATAGATCATACTGTATTTGTCATTGATGATGTAAATGAAATTTAAGTTATGCAGTGTTCTATTCAAAAGGAATTATGCACCAGTTAAAATATTTAAATATTTCATCTCCAACTATGAAATTGTCTACTGATTTTAAACACCAGGGTATTCTGGAGATAACTCATCAGAGCATTTTCACACTAAATGAGTAGGTCTAAACATCTTATTTGATAGCGATAGCAATTATTCAAGATGAGGGAACACACAGAACCCTAAATATTACTCGTAAGCACAATATGTAACACTTAAAGAAATATTTTTCCCAATGAAGCTATAGTTGCTGATTTTTCTTCTTTTTGGTGGCTTTTCACTTAGTAAAACATTTTATTTTCTTATTAGCTAGATATAGGCATTGGCCAACTATGAAAACTGTAAGAGTCTCTTGGCTAGCAATTCCAAAAGAAAAGAAAAAGATAATTGAAAAGGTTTCTTGTGGTTTGAAAATGCCTTCCAAATATTCATTAAACATTTAAGTGAGTAAATTTGTAGAATATGTTTCTGACATTGGCACTGGTTCTGTGGTATTTCTCTGATCAGATGGAAGCGCTGTGTGTTATGCAGAGTGCATTCAGTTCATTCATGCATAAACAATATCATTTTCATAAATTAAAACCTCCCCTGCAGAAGGAACATCTGTGCCTGCCTTTGAATAAAAGATGGTGGCATGTGAGTTACTCCTTGACTGACTGAAAGAATCTTTATGTTTAGAATGAAGTTATACATGCAAAATGGGGGGAAAAAAATCAAAACTAACTTGCAGTCTTCATTCCTACCTTATGAAAAAAATCCACAGTTAGATTTCCCTGCTTGCTGTTTTAAAAGCTGAATTTCTTAAAATGTCATCCTCTCATTTCTTCTGTTCACTACAGCAATAGTTTTTAGTTTGCATGAAGATGTCTAATTTTAATTACAGGTGAAATTGAGCTGCTGGATAGATCACAGCAGATCTGAATGTTCACTTCATGGTCTCCTAGGCTGGAAGGTTGGCAGTGTTCAGATATCATATCAGTATTATGTCTCTTAAAGAAAGAACAGTGAAAGCAATCTTGGATATAGGAAGCAACAGCTTGATTCCAAAATAACAACTCTGTTTCACTTGGAATGAGATTATTGCATTTTGGATAAAGCTGGGACTAACTTAAAAGTATTTCTGCCATGTGATGAAGGCTGATGGAAAACATGCTAAAATGATATATTTTAAATTGCACTCAAACATTTTTTTAACGTTGAAATATTCCTTACTGCTACTGTCACAGCTTGACATAGCCCCATTGGCAATGTTATTAGTATGGCTAATTGTTCCTGTCCATTAGATTACTCACATTTTTCTGGAGCAGCTTACTAAATGAGGTCAGCTTTCTGGAACCCCTAAATCACCAATGAGAAGGAGATTAAAGGAACAAGCTTGGGAAGGGAGGTAGTCATCCAATGTGGCATCCGAATCAGAGGAAGAACAATGGAGTTACTAATGACAGTAATCAGAGCACCACAGTAGAGCCAGGGCATAAGTGCCAAAATGTTATTCCCTAGAAATTGTTCCTGTCAGTCAATACATCCAGAGGGAGAGAAATGCCAAACTTCTTTAGTGGCCTTACCAATGGACAGAATCATCTCTAAGTTTTTCCAGTGAGTTCTGTTTATGAAACAACAGAATACTCCAAAGGGGGTGAGGAAACAATTACACCTTCCAGAAACATATCATAGTACAAATAGTATGTCTTGAGTACAAGTAGCTCATTACTATTTTTTCCTGAAAGAATTACTGAAATCACATTTATATTACAATGATAAAATGTCACTTCTTTGATTCTTTTATTTTATTTTATTTATTTTTTTTTTTGGTACGCGGGCCTCTCACTGTTGTGGCCTTTTCCGTTGCGGAGCACAGGCTCCGGACACGCAGGCTCAGCGGCCATGGCTCACGGGCCCAGCCGCTCCGCGGTATGTGGGATCTTCCCGGACCGGGGCATGAACCCGTGTCCCCTGCATTGGCAGGCGGACTCTCAACCACTGCGCCACCACGGAAGCCCCTTCGATTCTTTTAATTAAATCATTTCTCCCTGGCATATTCTAAAGATATATCACTTTCTCTTTGGGATAGGACCGCTTTGCAATAGAGAACATTTCAGTTCAGGAAAAGGTACAGATAACAAAGCACGAAGAAAATGGTGAAAAAAATTTTAATATGTTTTAAAAATATGTAGACAAACTAAGCTAGGTTACTTGTGTCTTGCTTGTTAATAATTAACTAAATCCATCTTTTGAAAAAAATAGAAGAAAACAGATAACATAATCATTTAAAGGAATGCAAACCAAAACCAAACAAAAATACAACTGTTTGTCTCTCCACAACACTTACTCCACCCCAGCCTCATATTCCAAGTAATGAAATACCAGTGTGGTCCTTTCATTATGTACAAAGAGCTGGTGACTCCCTAAGCAAGATAAACAGACTAGACAGTTTGTGCTAAAGTAAACTTTTCTCTTTTATTTTATTCTACAAATAGAATTTAGTATTTGTTTTAAACTCAGCAAGTAAAGCAACTATCCTGCTTAGGAATTAGTTATACTTAAAAAAAAAAAACACTCTAAGAAGAAATGCAACAATTGCTCAGATTTTCAATACTATTTTATTGCAACCGGATGAGTGTTTTCTAAATTGTGCATTACACCATAATATACAGGATTACAAACAAGATTACAGTACAGATCGATTCCAGTGGTACCAGTATCACATCTCAAACAGCACTTATTCTGGACTGCATTTTACATGCAATAGCTATTGTTCTAATTATGAATTAAATGGTTTGAATTTATTTAAGCTACTGTACTAATTGACTACAATAGATATAAAATCCCAACATCAACAACCTGATTAGATTTAGGCTCAGATTCATTACATGAATATATGACAAACCACCATTTGTGTGACTATGTATAAAATCATGCATTTATATTTTCTGGAAACATCAATAGCTTCAGATTCTCTGTAAAATCATGGAATGCGAAGGAGTAAAAGACTAAAAAGAAACAGTGCAAATTGTATGTGATAGTCAAGCAGCTTTTGATTTAAAGAAGGGTATGTTGGCATTTGTTTATAATATGTATATACAAGCTTGTGCAAGTAATGTATTGAATTGATATGTTTTGATAGGGAATACATCTGTTTTTATTCATCCTCAAGAATTATGGATCTGGTTATCATTTTAAGGAGAAGGAAAGACTTTAAAGTGAAATGAATTGCTCAAATTGTGCAATTATTTTTAACAATTAGAGAAGAAAGAAGTGCTAAGGCAACACAATAACTTTCTAAGCACTTTTCTGCTGGTTTAAATTAGTTAAATTATTTTGTATAAATTAGATATAATTCTACTTTTCTGATATGTATAAAAATTGATGAAGCTGCATGGTTTTAAAATAGGAAATCCACATTATAAAAAGTCATTAAAAATTCTGTACAAAATCACAACAAAATAATTCAGCATGGGAAAGGTAACAAGTAGTAAAATGCTGGTTGAAAAATATATATTTATATATATTTTAATTGGCCCATTACTAGTTTAAAAATTGCATAGATCCTAATTATTGCTTGTGATTTTGTTATCCCGATCAGATAATTAATATGTTCTGAATACAGCTGCACCAAATTTGTGGTGCATTTTTTTAACTTTACTGTATTTTTTTTTAAAATAGAAGAGCTATAGAAAATAATACATAAAGTGAACAGGAACTTTGATCCCCTGTTTCTACCAAAGGCAGTAACGACAATAAATACATATATCACTTGAAGCTTGGAGTATTTGCACTTTGCAGCAGTAGTACCCAAAGGGCTGCCTTTTGTAAACACGACAGTCACTGTAACCACAGTGGGTTCGTTTCCCAGGGACGGTGAACCTGACGTGCCTCTAATCGTGAAAGATGGCATTGAGCTGGGCACTCATGACTCGCTCATGATGTGAATGGCTATCGAAGGACATAATATTGTCTATAGGGATGTCACAGCGAGGGGCAGCGGCGCCCGAGAAGATTGATCCGTGGCTTTGGGCCCCTGCCAGGGTCGCTGCAGGATAGTGCATGGTAAAGGCATAATTTTTCTCAAACTCGGCGGACGGTTCGTGTTTGAAAGAGAAGTTGCCATTGATGCTGAGCGGCGGACTGAGGGGTCCGTCAAAGGAAGGGCTGGTGCAATCAGTCAGAGGGCTCTCAAAGAAGGGCTCGAGCGCTGCGCTGTAGGCATGCGGCGGCGGCTTGACGTGGAAGACATGGGAGCTGTCCATGGTGCCGTAGGGCGGGCTGGGCAGCCCCGGAGACTGGTAGGAGTAGGGGTGCACCGGGAAAGAAGCGCTGGCAGTCGGCAGGTGCGGAGGCATGTCCTGGTTCTGCTCAGGCAGAAAAGTCCGAGGATTGAGCTGCAGGCAGCCGGCAACCAGGTTGGTGGTGGGCTGGGATAAGCCCTTGCAGAGCGTCTGTACAAAGGAGACCAGGTCAGGGCTTTTGCCGGAACGCAGAATCTCCGACAGAGCCCAGATATAGTTTTTGGCCAAGCGCAGTGTCTCGATTTTGGACAGCTTCTGTGTCTTGGAGTAGCAGGGCACTACCTTGCGCAGGTTGTCCAGCGCCGCGTTCAGCCCATGCATGCGGTTCCGCTCCCGGGCGTTAGCTTTCATGCGTCTCAGCTTAAAACGCTCCAGGCGCGCCTTGGTCATCTTCTTCTTTTTGGGGCCGCGTCTCTTAGGCTTTTGATCATCGTCCTCCTCTTCCTCTTCTTCCTCCTCTTCCAGATCCTCCTCTTCTTCCTCCTCCTCTCCCCCGTTCCTCAGTGAGTCCTCTTCCGCGTTCATGGCTTCGAGATCGTCCTCCTTTTTGTCTGTCTCGTGCTCCTCGTCCTGAGAACTAAGACATTCGTCTGTCCAGCTCGGAGGACCCTGCGGCTGAGGCTCTCCCATCAGCCCACTCTCGCTGTACGATTTGGTCATGTTTAGGTTTCCTACATTCAACAGGGGAGAGGGGAAAACAGAAAAGGAGAAAAACGCTACATTCAAAAACTACATATGCCCTCAGCTTCTATCCACTAACCCTGTAGAAATGCATGTGAAGAGAATGATCAGCTGATTACAAAATGGATGCCCCTGAGGAAAAGTTAAATGCAGTTTTATAGTGGCCTGTGTGTGCCCTGCTGGTACGAAGGAGGCTGGACAGGGCTGGGAGGAGGGGAGACAGTATGTGTTATAAGTACACTTCCGGTGTATGTTTCCTTGTGATTAATTTAAGTGTGTTTATGGTGATTACCCGGTAGGATAATGTGTGTGAAAAGGCGTGTACATTTTGGCGACTTCATGTTTATTTGCATGTGTTCAAAGTCGCTTAGAACTCCACAAAAATGACGAGTTTGAAAATTGCAGTTGTTTCCATCTCTGTTCTGGCCTCTGGGTACTCAGCGATTAAAGTTGAAGAGCCATTACGTAATTTACTAACACTGGCAGTGATTTTTAAGAAGATTATACTGAATGGGGATTGAAAAGCAAATGCATGCGGAGGAAAAGTATTTTCCACCAAATTATTTCACCATCAACGAAACATTTGGAAACAAAAGTGGGCAGGGGTTTTCCATCCCACCCTTGCCTTTATTTTCTCGCCTCCCACCCCGCTGGCCCTCTGCTGAATTTCCACCTTGTATAAAAGCGCTTACTAGAGGGCCAGGGCTGGGGGCGCGGCGCAGAGCGCTCTTCCACGCGCCGGGGATCAGGTGCGGAAGGCTCCTCTCTAATAAACAGCCCATTGAAAGGGCCGCCCGCTCTTTATTGGGGCTTTTCAAAGTTCGCCTCAAACCTTCCTTTAAAAGATTGAGTAATTATAATGGTCAGCGATTGGCAATGGCGAAGTTGCCGCTTCTAATAAGGAAAATAAAAAGCCTTTAGTGAGACAACTGGATTTCTGGCACCTGCAGTGGCTGCTGGGGACTTGGCCGACTCTGGAACAGTAACAGGTAGCAGGAGTGGGTCTCTCTCCCTTTCTCCACATTTTTTCCCCCTCTCAATTAAACTACCTCTCAACTCGGTTTATTTTCCAGGGTGTGTATATTCAAAGTATCAATGCCCCTTTCATTCACTGAAGAAATAAGTTGGCGCTCCCAATGTGTATAAAATACATGTACACAAAATAAATCTTGGTAACGTGGGGTTTTTTCCCCCTTACTGGAGGAAGTGAAATAGTTAAGTAGTTACTTGCTTTCAGAACTTTGAAATCACCACTAGCAAATAATCACAGAGTTAGTGGGCGTTATATTTTTAAAAATCCAAAGACGCTCCTATATTTTCCCCCTTAAAAAAAAAAGTAAAACAATTTTTTTTTAATTAGAAAGCCCGCAGTGGGTATTTGAGTGATGCGAGTCAAACTGTATGCGTACTCGCCTGCAATTATGGAAAGGAATGCCTGTCTCAACACATACACGCGCTCACAAACGCACACATACAGAATATGTGTACATCTTCAATTGCTTCTTTTATTCCCAGCAAAAATGAAAGGATTGTAATTACCTGTAGTTGTTAGTAAGTCCTGAGCAGTGATGGTCTCATAACCCTGGGGCCTCCGGACGCCGTGCCTTCTGCGTGGGGCGAATTCCTCGTGTCCAGGCGGCGCGGGCGCTCAGGTTATATAGCCGAGTTGGTGATGCTGAGCGCGGGCGGGGCCAGGAGCAGAGCGGCGAGCAGGTTCCTGCGCTCCGCGTCTGCGCACGCGTCTGGGTTTTGCGCCCCCTTCCCTTCCGCCCTCCTCCTCCTCCCCCGCCCCCGTCCCCTCCCCCTCAGCCTTGCTCCTCTCCCACCCTCCTCCGACCCAGCTCCCCACTCCCCCACCCCTACCCCCGCCCCATCTCCTTCCTCCCCGGCATGCGCCATATGGTCCTCCCAGTCCAGCCAAGAGCCGGGAACCACGTGACCTGCCCATTTGTATGCCGCGGAGCGCTCCATTCCGGCCCCTTTGTGGCCAGAAGAAAGTGGCCCATCTGTCGCCAGTTAGAGACTCCGCGGACCTGTTTTTACCCGCAGGAGAGATTAACCCTTTCAGGCGGCACAAGGGGAGAAGGGGCGCGGGGGGGAAGGGGGAAAGGGGAAGGAGTTTGAGAGAAGGGAGCGGGAAAGCTAACACTGACTGGGTTTAGATCAGACTTAGTGACCGGCGCTAGCGCGGTAAGTAGGGCACAGGTGAAAGAGGCAGAAGCGAGAGACTTCTTTGGATTCCTCGCCCAGGCACTGGCTTCCCGGGCACTCCCTGCCCTCTCTGCGGTATCCATCCCTTGGTTTCTCCCCCTTGGTAGACACTTTGCTCATTGGCGCCAAAGGGTGGCTTCTCCCAATCTCCATCAGCCCCTTAAGCTAACATACACTATTTATTATACGTAAAAAGACGGCTTCATCTGTAAACGCAAGCGTGAAAGTAGTTCCTAACCTCTTTAACTGGATCCCCCACGCCCGGCCCCAACAGTGTAGAAAATTTCGTACCTGTCATTCTACTTCACCGTTACGTGGAACCCGGCGTATCCTGACCCTCAGCTACCCATATCCCTGGAGACTCCTCACTATGTCCGTACCCCTCTGGCCTGTGGTCCTTGTCCTCAGAGCGCGCTAGTCCTTGGCTTCTTTGGCCTCCGGAGCTCTCTTGCATGAAACCTAGAGGACTTCTCTGAAGCTCGGATTCTGCCTTTTAACCAAGGCCATTGGATCGATGTAAAGCGTGCCCTTACCCTGGTTCCCTAACACAGGCTGCCTTGCCCCCCTTAGTTCCCACTTTCAGACCTGTAAATGGAAACTTGGTTGAGACAAGTCTTAAAGGGAGGGTGCAAAGGGCCTGTGCTAAAGGGGTCTTCTTCACTCCTCTTCCTAGAAAGGTCATTAGCACAACTCTGGGAAGGGCTGATGGCCACAACTTCTCCAGACCTCAAAGACTCTGATGTGACCTCCACCTTGCAGGTCAAGCAAAAACCACAGAGCTTCCTGACTAACTCTGAAGGAGCCATATTTGTATTTAAATGGTGATCATTCACTCGTTCCCACCAAGGCATGTTCCAGAATGATAACACTTTTTAAAGTTGGCTCTATTGCTTCCCTGCCCCCTTTTCTCCACCAGATTCGCCTCTAATCCTCCATTAACTAACCCCTTATCCCCTCCCAGACCCGTGTCCCCTTACAATGAAAGCGTTGAACAACTAGAATTGCTCTAAAAGCCCCTTGAGTTTGAAAACAGTGTCAGGGGTGAGCGGTGCATCTGGGAACCGGAGGGGGGATACGGAACCGGAGGGGAAGAGAGTCCTAACGTGATAGCTGGTGTCTAGAAGGCTGCGATGCAGGCTTCCCGGTCCAGTGCAAATCTGGAAGATGAATAAAGGGGTGTGAGACCCGACCCGTTGCCCAAAGTGTGGCATGAACCGTGCTGAGTTTCCAGGGCAGAACTGTACAGAGTTTCGGTTTTTGAGTTCACTCGTCGGTGTACAAACATCACAGAAGAGGATCAAAGAGTTCACCCAAGAGCCTAGTCTCAGTATTTACCCCTGTACAGTATATATCTTAAATGAAGGGTTAAAACTCGAGGGGCATCAGAGTAACAGCCTGCAGAGGCCGGTCCACAACTCGGAAGTCCCAGGACACGCGGCGCGTGGACCAAGTGCCGCCACTCTTCCGGCAGCTGCCCCTACGGCCTAGCCCACCGTGCCCACGGGGACGTAGAACTTGTGCCCTGGCTCTCATTTCTCAGTCTTAGGGGAGCTTCAGAGGAGATGTTGGGGGCCGGGTGGAAGAGGGTTCCAGCTGCCCCGAAGGCCTGGGGTGGCCTAGGGGATTCCCCCCCACCCCCGGAAGCGCAAACTTCCCCAGTTTGCGACACCCTGTGGAATACAGGAGATTCTTGGTGGAGCCAGATGTTCCTGGGCGGGGAAGGAAAGGAAACGCGGGGGGTTCGCCAGCCGAGATTCTAATGCGCATAGTGCGGGAATTACTACACTCGTTCCCGCCTTCTCCTCCTGATAAATTCACCCGAATCCCTCTGCTCATCGTTGGCCCAGGCCTGGGGATCATCTGTACAAAGAAAAGACCACTCCGGGTTGTTCCAGAGACCTAGCGAGGTTCGGTCTCACCCTGGCTCTCAGTGAGCTTCCGGGCCCTCAGCGCTCAGGTGGCGACCCGCCTGCGCGCCGGCAGTGTCTACCTCCAGCGCCTTCGTGGCTGAGACTGCCCGCGGGCCTCCCGGGAGGCTGCAGCCCGGTAGTCAGACCTGGAAGGGAAGAGTCCAGATTAGGCCTGGATTGAGATGCTTTTTGTTGGGAGGGGAAGGGGGCGAGGAATTGGGGCCAGAGGACGGTGGCAGCTGAAACGCCAGGAGTGGATGGACTGCCGGCACGGCGGGGCTCAGTACCGCGGATGGTCGCCACGGCACCACCCGGCCGCCTTATTTTCTTCTCCTTCTCTGGACTTTGTTTCGACGGTTGCACACTTTCCCCCTCCCGATTCCCTAAATTCTCTCCCTCTCCCTCTGTCCCCACCGCCCTTTAGCGGTACACCTTCTCCAGCTCCGGTCCCCACTGGGCGCCGCAGGCTGCTGCGCGGCACGCGAACCGCACGCGCGGGCAACAAAAGCCGCTTTCATGACTCACTGCCCTCGAGCAATGCCCCAAATCTGTCGCCCCCCGGGTCCCCGCTTCGAGCGCGCGGCGCAGGCCGGGCGGTCCTGGCCGTTACAGCGGCTGCCAGAGCGCCGGCGGGAAGGGGGTCGGCAGGAGGCGAGTGGCCCGGGGTGGGGAGAGGGGAGTGTGGCCTGCGCGGGGAGGGGGGGGAGGGGAAGAGGCGTGTGGCATCGCCGGTGGCGGGGAGAAGACGGGGGGAGGGAGGCGTGAGGCCGGGACTTAGGGGGTGGGAAGCGTGTAGCTGGCGGGGGAGGGTGGGTGGTGCGACGCATTCACAGGGCTAAGATAAAGAGCTGGGGCCGGGCCGGCGTCCCCGGCGGTGACCTGTTTCTCGGGGAAACAGATGCTCGCTCTTGCAAAGGGAGGTCTGCGTTCAGTGAAAGAATTAAGTATGGCCAGGGCGGCCCCACCGACCTCGAGCGGCGCCCGCGTCCTCTCTCCACCCCTCCCGGGAGAGGGGTATCCCGGCCTGGGCATGTTCGAGGGGCGGGAGGTGGTGGGGGCTGAGGGGCGAGCCAGGCCGTAGCGTGCTGGGTCCGCGGGAGGAGGACTGGAAGCCACACGTTCCTCATAGGCCGGGTAGTTCAGAAGCCCGTGGGAGGCCGGAGGGGGAGGTTGCGGGTTCTGCCCAGACCGCGGGCTCAGCGCGGAGTTTGCGCCCACGCCTCCAGGGAGGCCACTGGGCGCCCGGATCCTGGCCAGAGGCTGGAGCTGCCCGGACTCGACAGGCGGGCGGCGGGGGAGAGCCGGGAGCAAGAGACAAGCTATTAAAATGCCTCGCCGTCGCCCCGAGCGCAAAACCCGTCCTCCCCAAATCTCCTGGGCTTGCGGCATAATCTTAATTAAGATAATTGATTCATATTGCACCTGCGAGAACGGAAAAAAATTGATTCCAACCCCCAACCCCACAAATCGCTTAGAGCTATTGGATGGAGCACGACGCGGCTGTGATTTGGGGAGTGATTTAGCACCGGGTTTCCCCAACTCGGACTGCCTGGGCTCTTTTATTTATTATTTACGAGCTCCTAATCCCTCCGGGGAGTGGGTGGCTCCCCTCACGGCGCCTACAGACCTCGAGGGACTTCATCTTTGATTCCGGGTCAGAAATGAGGGGCTTTCCTTAAACTATCCCATCCAACACTCATAACAACAACGCAAAATCAACGCAGCTCCAAGCATTGGCAGGCGCGGGTCACTGACACGATTGTTCAAGGCCTCATAGCTTGGATATGAGCTATGTGTGTGACTGTGCTTAAGTGTACAAGTGTGTGTGAATCTGTGAGTATACACATGTATGAAAGACTGTGTATGAATGTATGAGCTCTATGAACGCGTGTGACTGTTAGTACGTGAATGTATAATTTGTGTCAGTGAGTGTGGATGTGTGTGTAATTTATGTGAGCGTAGGTGTGTGGGGTGTGAGTGTGCATGAGTGAGTATGTGTTTGTGGGAGTTCCTGCTCTCAGGTGAGGAGGGTAAACAGAGGGCTCACACCTGTTTCAGTTGGCTTGAGAAACAGCATGCGGTCTGAAGGGGACGGCAGCGCGCGCGTGGTAACTGACAAACGCCCGGTGTTTGCCAACATTTGCCTTAACAAAAATCAACAGGCCAACAAAAATCCCCGGTAGCTGTTGTTGCTGCTTGTGTGGAGAGCAGAGACACACCGACGGCACTTGAGCTTCTCCTGAACAATGGCTGCTGCAGTGGGTTGGGGGAGAAGATCAGGCAAGTTCCAGGTTTAGAGCCCCAGGCCGCTTGCAGGAGAAATGGCTTCCTCAAGGTATCAGCACCGTGGACAATTCCTACTGCCTTGGCCCTGGAATTTGCAGTATTAAGGTTCAGCAAAACGACTCCCCTTGCAGTGCCTTTCCGTTTCTCCTGTTCGCCTTCTTTCACAACACCACTGACTACCACATCCCGAACTTTTAATCAAAGAGCCCTGTTAATCTGCATTTAATTAGCCACCTTCTTTTCAGAATAGGTTTCCTGGAAAACTAGATAT